ACGGATACAACGTCTTGGACGAATTTAATTCATCAGACGGATTTAATTCGTTTCATACGACGCACTAACGTCGCATTTAATTGGTTCAATTAAATTCGTCTGAATTAAATTCGACGATAGTGCGACGTATGAAACGGGCCTTAGTTTTTTTTTACGCTGCGTTCTGCTTTTGCGATCTTCATTGTAGTTTAGTTGTTTCGTTATGTCTCCCCTCACAAGAATTTAAGTTTATTTCTTAAGGTTTACGCACGTTCAAAGTCTTATTTAGTGTTTTATTTGTCTCACACTTTCGGTATAATTTATGCAAGTTACTGGAGCGATTCAATTTTATTGGAGGCTTCACAGTCAAAATGCTACTTTACTTCTCGGCCACTACCGAATCTTGATCTCACAGTCAAAACACTGCATATATGTATGAAGAAAATTACGTCCTCGGCACCCACCGAGTTAACATTCAGTATCTTTGTTTGAAAATGTGTTATAATGATGACCCCTGCCTCGGTAGTGGCCGCGAAGTAACATTTTGCATGGGAAATCAAGACTCGGTAGTGGCCGAGGGGTAAAATCCTGAATGTAAAACCATGACTCGGTAGTGGCCGGGGAGTAACATTTTGTATGGAAAATCATGACTCGATAGGGGCTGAGAAGTAGATTCTGAATGTAAAATTATGCATCACTCGATATAATGACAGAGAAGGGCATTTGCATGTGAGATCATGATGTACTCGGTTGTGGCCGAAGAGTAAAATTCTGATTGTGAATTCTGGACTCGGTAGGGGTCAAGAACCAACGTTTGAATGGAAAATAATACCTCGGTAGGGGCCGAAAAATACAAATTGAGTGTCAAATCATGAATCGGTATAGTTGGGTGGACGTGAAGTCAATTTGAACTCGACAGTGGCCGCGAGGTAAAAATTTGAATGTGACATTGACTCCGTGGTCGGGCCGAGAGATAAATGTTAGCGGTGATAAGTTATACCGTGATTGACGTACTATCTCGCCGTATTTCGGTTGAAGATGAATTGAAAGCACTAAAAGCCGAAATCGAAGTTTTAAAGGCGGTCCGCCCCGATCTGAGGGAGAGCCGGCTGCTCTCCAATTAGTCTGGCAATTGGCGTCCGCCCCAGGAAAACTACGTGATCCAACCATGATATTGTCAGCGCTACAGCATTTATCAGACGTAGCTAGATGTAACAACCATTCAAGATCCGCAGAGTACGAGGCTATTCTCCGTCAAACTAGACCCATTGCTTATCGTCCAGAGTTTGGTGAAGTCATTATTAGATTGCTCGGAACCAAGTTACCAAGGAAGAAACCGCAGTCGCGTCTACGATTGCAAAAATGGTGAAGGATACACCTCGACAGCAGCACTTTCAACCCTATCATCGTCAATGGTCTGGTCGAGGAACGAGGTGGCGTCCGGCGCAGGGCCGCGGACTCTGTTTTGCATGTGGGCGTCCCGGCCACTTTCAGCGCAATTGCCCTTCACGATATCCGCCTGGGCCAAGATGAATATAATAAAATGATAAATCGATAATAAGGATGGTTATAAGCTGTACTTCCTGTGAATGAATAGATAAAGACATAGGAAAATAGTAATAAAATGGAATGGAATACAAAATACGTATAATGCGAGTCCTCTTTGAATGTGTTTCTGGTTTTCTCTATTTAGTTAAATGGTTAATTCCACGATACGCTTGAGACTTTTTATCGATAGTTTGGTTTGACATTGTCTTAGCTCAACTATTGTCGGCTCCGGCTCCGGGTGTCTAATGTCTTTTATGCCCTTAAGGGTTGCCTGGGACCGACAATGGGTGTGGGCGAGTAGGTGTTACGAGTTATTTTTCATTTTAGTTTCTATTTTCCACGGACATCCATGAGTCCAAACAACAACAAAAACACCTTCGATTTTCCGTCATTTTGCAGTCAACGTCACCCGAGACCTGTTAAATGGTGCGATTGGAAAGACTCGCCCACTAGTATATTGTCGGTCCTAGCCGTCTCCCCGGGTATGGTTTCAACATATCAAGTTTTAGCCAGACCACAGGATACACTTTTCTTTTTTGCGATTCGTCCTCATTCATTCCCGGAGAAGTCCTGAATCATTACCATAAATGGCGGCCGATTGCTTCTGACGGAGGGGCAGATGCGATCTTATCTTTTATTCAGCAACGGGGTTGAATCCGGTACGTTTTACTTCTTTGTCAGCGAGTTGGGAACGCCATAAGCGGAGCTGCTGCCCGACCGATCTCACTTCGTCCACCCAAGACTCCTGCCGTCTCCCCAGTTCAGCATCTTAAGTTTTATCATACATTGTGTAAATAAACGCCATGCAGCTTGACTTGGCGTCAGGTTTTCTTTTCCGTAAGCCCGTTGGCCTCCGCAACTCAAGCAAGGCTTGTTTTGACGTTATTGGGTCTATGCACCAAATGAGACGATTCACGGATTCAGAGGTGGTATTTGCCGTATTGCTATTCTACTGTTATTGGTGCATCCAAATATGAAATCGCCAACCATGTCGGATGGTCACACAGATGGTATTCTACCCATGGCAGGGCGCCCTCCAGCTGAAGATTTGGGTATACAATTCCAGAACTGTGACAATTTAATTTACTTTGAACCTTTCAATTCGCCACCTAGTTTAGTTTTGGGTGAATTGGGTCCTGATATAAGTTTCGGGATATAGGGTGGGGATTTAGTTTCGGGAAGTAATTAGGAAAGGATGTGCAGTAGCCTAGGGTTATTATGTTTGGAATCACTGGCTGTAGGCGTGGTACGTTCTGCGACAGGGCTCGCATTGCCCGTAACTCTCTCGTGAGCTGATGTTAGCAGGAATGCAGTTAGCTAGAATAGAATACTATGGCCGTTTCATAATTTAAATAGTTGTAGCCTGTACAGATATAGGTCTTATAGCAGATACCATTTAGTGTTAATCACTTGTAATTAGGGACCGGTCATTATTTATGGCGGGGGGTGGCACCAAAGAGAAAAAGGTTGGGTAAACAAAATTTTGAGTAAGTAAAAGGTTGGGTAATTGAAAAACAAAACAACTCAACGGTTGGGTAATAAAAATTTATTGTCATTTCCAAAGCATGACCCACTGAAATATTAGAGACTGAAAAGCAATGCCAACAGCTAGTCATTTGTCAATACAATATGTGAATCAATCAGAGTCACTATCTTGATCATTTTGACAAAACAAATTGTGTTTCCAAAAAAAGTACATGTGCAGACAACATGAAACTTTAGACTGCAGAAAATTTCACAAGCCGTTATCAAACTCATGTCACTGAAATGATAAAGGAGATGTATGACAACTGAATGGTATCCTTTTGTTAAGTTTTTGGCCAGGGGTGGGTAGTTATTTTTTAATTGATATTTGAGGTGGGTCAGCAAAATTTTTGACACGGAAAACATTTCTCTTCGGTGCCACCCCCCGCCATAAATAATGACCGGTCCCTTAGACGAAACCATTCTTGATTACATTCACATTTTACAAAGGTACGGTTCAGGGGCGTAGTAACCGGGGGGGGGGGGTTGTACAGGCGGCACGTGCCCCCCCCCCCCATTTTTCCAAAGGACCAAAAATACCCTTTTTCATGATGAAAAGTGCTCTTTTTGTACAAACTAATGTCGCTGTAAATACTATATTAACATCGAAGGTGTCCTTTTTGTTTGGAAATTAGGATGTTTTTTAAAAATCCCAACAAATATGATAGAGTTAATTTGTCTATTTTGCGTTCGGCGAAGAGGGCGTATTAAAATGGTTACTATAAATTTGCGAGAAATATGAAATAAATACTATACTTTGTGTTAAACGATTCTTAGAAACTTCTCGTGCGGCAACAATAACATTTAAGAAATTGGAGATATTTATCAAACTTTCATGGTAATTTTTATGCGCAACACCACCTTTGATAGCCGCCTGCGAGAGTTTCACCTTTTAACCCGACTCCTTAACTTACAACTATATCGCAAGCCAATGGCAGACATGGCAAGACGGACATTTAAATAATTGTAATGATAACTTTATAGGAATGTTTTACTTATATACATACAATACAATACAATACAATACAATACAATACAATACAATACAATATAATATATTTCATTCATGATTAATGTCGATTTCAGGTTATCTTTTCATGTCACGCAACAATGAACAATCCCTAACCCTACCAATCCTATTTCGTGATAACCTGAGTATCAGGCGTGGTTCCCAAGTTTTGCAATATTATTGTAAAACGCGGACTCAGTCCACAATTTGTACTGGGTCCGCGTTTTCCGGGTCCAGTCCGTGTTTTACAACATGCCGTCTCAGACATTAATGTCGTCTAGTGCAAAGACGTCTGAAACAGGACGACAAACCAGTAGCTGAAATATCAGCTGAACTAAAAAAATCGATTTCATTCCGCTGAGTCAGCTCTTCGTTGTTTTTAATAACACTGTCTGTTGCGCGTGGTTACGCCGACTCGTTTTTGTACTAGACGATTAATTTTAACGTCTGAGACGATATCGTCTATAAGAGCATAGAGATTAGAAAAGAATAGAGTGGACATTGCAGGAAACGTTCATGCAAATGAAAGGGACAAATTGAAGATTGCAAATTAAATGGAGGCCGGCAAATTTGAGTCATACCCGGATGTAACTGGCCAAGAAAATATCTTTTTCACCTTAATTTTGGCTACAATTCAAAACCATTCAAGAATTCAATGTTCGTTTTATCAAAAGTTTTGACTGTTTCACATAACATTTCTACCGTTCCCAACCTTGTTTTGTATTAAAGTCCAGGTATTCTTGTTGATTTTGAACTTTTAGACCTACATGATGTTTTCAAGTTGTATTGCGGGAAAACCGGAAAAATCGAAGGACAGATACCTTTTTATAAGTCATTCTCGCGTTCCGAGCGTGGAATATTCTTGGATTGTTTACGCAAGTTGTGAAAGAGTTTTTTTTATAGAAGAGGCCAGTTTTTAAAAAAATCAGTTCACGTAGAAAGAAAAAACATGGTAGTTCTGACGCCATTGTCACGACGACTGGTCCCTAAATTCATGGTAGCTACCACTGAACTTAACGCGATCCTATACTAGCTTCCGACGATGTCTTTCACAATAACAAGTTTGACGTATTTGGGCTAGAGACAGCCTCCTCCGCACGGGCATCTCACCCGAGGAATCGGGTGGTCGGAAACTAGAATTTTTTTACAAAAACCCATTCGCAGGCTAAAACCTATAGAGAGGCCTGCGGAGGAGACTAATTAGCCTACGGTGTATAACCGTAGGCTAAGGAGACTAGCTCATCTAAAGGCCATTTTCAACTAGGCGGAATTTTGTTCCCGATTTGTGGCCACAACTTCTTACAGTGGAAAATTCAGTGTTTCAGTTTCACTGCACGTCATTGGGTTTCCAAGGCAACGTCTGCAGCCTATAGCCAGGCTAATTTTATGAACCGAGTGTCAGTGCAACTCTTTGATTTTTTCAATAAAACTCATAACGGCTTCCCTTTGCTTAGCCACTTCTACATCCCTGCTCACATCCTTGTATTTCACTGACATGTACCTATTTCTAGACTTTCTATCAACAGTTTTACAAATTTTTGAGTTATTCAACTTCGTAATATATTTCTCTTCGACAGAATGGAAATTTGGTCTCAGTGCGGGGGCACTATGTGCTCGTTGCAGTTTGGAGCTCATCGTTTGTATCTTTCGTTCCCATGCTTGTACACGCAACTCACTCGCTGTCACTGGACGCTTGAGCAAATGATTAAATTTCTCCTTTACATTTAAACCAAGACTTGAAGCTTTATCAACATTGGCCGTGAATAACAGTCCAGGGGCATTATATTTCGGTTGAAATTTTCCATATGCCGAATTATTTGTACTTCTGATACTTGCCATTCCAACTTTTAGTTCCTCATGAGTTTTAATAAGTTCCATAGTTCGGTAAACACGGTGACGAAATTTATTGGCGACAATTTTTTGATCACAGAAGATGCGTTTTATTGTGCTATTTTCTTGTCTTGTCAACGCTTTCAGTTCTTTACATAAGTGAACTTCTTCCTTCCAATTTGCACAATGCACTTTATGAGATTTTTCTGAATTTCCACTTGCTTGAGATTGTTGTCTGTCGATGTAATTAAACGCATGGCCGTTCATCATTTCTTTAATGTTTAGACAAATCCAAGGAATCATATAGTAAAACCCACCTCACAGCACAATATTTGCCAGTTTGCTGTAGCAACAAAGAGTGAAAATCCAGTAATCTTATAATAGCTCCTATTTCAATTATTCTTAAGTCGCCTGTCTCTATTGCATCAGTATAGTGAACCGGTTATAAATTATCTAGTATTCATGTCCATGATCCACTCATCAATAATAAAGAAGGATCACATTAATAGTCATAGGCAATTATGCAGTAAAAATATTCTTAAACTGTAATTCATGACGATGAAATACCCTCTTTCGTGCCCGTCTATAATAAATCAAATTTTTATGCTCATGCAGTAACTATAGTCTTTTACATGCAGAATTTACAAGGATCAAGAAAGCATTAGAGATTAAGCCGAAAGAAAATTTTATACTAATTGATATTGTGTGCTTGATATTTAGTATATTGTATTTTGAATAAGTCCCATATCTGACTTTATAATTAAATTCTTTTTCAAAGGACTGAAAGTTATTACTCGATTTTACGTTGTTCTCTATTCTCTAATGCTATAATTATACGTCGTATACTGCAAGTGTACTATGCTTGTCAAGAAATTCCATCCACATCTTTAGTACAATATTATTTTGGAGATTAAAAGGATTCCTTTCTTTTCTTAGCTAAACGACATTAATACTTATTAAGCCCTGCTGAACAAACAGGCTCTATAATTTTACATATAGCAATTTTATACATCTATAATGACTAATAGTAATGCTTTATAATATATATATTATAGTTAGACTTTATAGCACTATTTGCAGGGTGTATAAAATATAGACAATTTTGAAAGGGCTCTCAATTTCACAAATCCGTTCATTTCATGAAATTTTTGATAAATATAGATTGTTTGGGTACTTATAATGTAGAATCAGAGATGTAGAATAAACAAAAATTTTTCGTAAAGATAAATTTTCCAAAGCAGGGGCGGGGGGGGGGGGGTGTTTTTT